ATGTTTTGCATTTGCACAGATTAATGTGGTATTTTGTTAGAAGAGTTTAATATCTTTTTAAAATGTTAAAATTGCTCTTATCGGGTGTTAGGACTAGAGGTGATCTTAACAGAAGAGACTACCACAGCCCAGAGAGTTTATTTGCCAAGGTTACACATCTGGTTAGATACAGAGTAGTTAATAGTATGAAGGGCATTTAATTTCTGTTTTTTTTCCTATTATGTTACATAATGCTGCATTCAAGAGTATAGCATTAATTAGACTTTAAAAGCTTCTGCATTGATTAACTTTGATAAATAAAATGCCCAAATATTATCTATTTTTATTTGCCTGCAAAATCAGAAAAATAGCAAAATATGTCTTTCAAAATGTCATATGCAAAAAAAAAAAGTAAGGTCTCAGAGAGTGAATATGGATATTTTACACTCTGTAAAATTGTGAAAAATGTTTTTTGGGGCCGGGCACAGTGGCTCACGCCTGTAATCCTAGCACTCTGGGAGGCCGAGGCGGGCGGATCGCTCAAGGTCAGGAGTTCTAGACCAGCCTGAGCAAGAGTGAGACCTCGTCTCTACCAAAAAAATAGAAAGAAATTGTCTGGACAACTAAAAATATATATATAGAGAGAAAAAATTAGCCGGGCATGGTGGTGCATGCCTGTAGTCCCAGCTACTTGGAAGGCTGAAGCAGGAGGATCCCCTGAGCCTATGAATTTGAGGTTGCATAATCATGACACTGTACTCCAGCCTGGGTGACAGAGTGAGACCCTGCCTCTAAAAAAATAAAAATAATGAAACTAACCCAGAAGTGCAATGAAAATAAATCTCTGAGTATAGATGTGACCCATGCCTGGAAAAAATGACCCTGGAGAAAAGAATTAATAAAGAGTTAATATAAGGAATAAAAGAGAAAATCAGGAATGGAGAGGAAGAGGTGCAAGGTAATGTAAAGGAACAAAATTCTTCTTTGGGCTGGAGGTGGAGGGAGATTTTTACTTTTAATTTCTTTCTACAATTGAGGGAGAGGCCCTAAAGCTGGCCTAAGGGCTAATTAGCGTGACTTCTACTTGATCCCTTTTCTTCACAGCACTGATTTCAGCAATATACTTGATCTGAGCTCAGTTAGTTTGGGAGGGCTGAGCATGACAGATAAGTTTGTTCAGACCAAATTTTAGGGAGTTATCTATCCTAGTAATCATACTGTGCATTCTGTAACTCTGACCTCTATGCATTGGTTTCCCAGCCTTCTTTATATTAGGCTGGGTTTGGAAGGGAACAGATGAGCTTTCAAAAGGACTGCTGAGATGCTCACTCACTCAGATGTGACATTTCACAACCATGTGCCCCTAAAGGTGAGGTTTGGGATACTAACATCTCCACCTGTCTCAGAAGATGACCTTGTAGTTCTCTCTCTGGTGATGTCCTTCTAGGTCCTTATGATAATAAACCTTGCTTAACTTTTTTTTTTTTAAGTGAGAAATGGCAAATTTTTTTATTAGATGCCATATAGTATCTGCAGAAAAACCAGCCTTTGAAATCTTGGCAGACATTTAACAATTGTGCAAACTAATTAAACCTTGTTTAACTTATCCAAAAGGTTTTTGGTCTTTAGATCAAGAAGTGACCACTGACATTGGTCAAAATGGTGGTCACACAGTCCTCAATAGGGTAAGTGAGTTTTAAAATTACCATCAGCATTATAAACTAACAACAAAAGACAAAATAAACACAAAAAGCAAAGTTTTCTCTAAATAAATTATGAGCTGAAGAGTGGTATATGTCCCTCCCCCCCAGAAAAAAAAAAAAAAACCCATACAAGTATTTGTCCAATGTTGTTAAATAGGAAACAAAATATGCCTTGAGTTCAGTGCTACTCCAAATTCATTTTACTGTCACTTCGAAGCATTGTAAAGAAACTTGGGAATATACTCATGTAGAAATCAGGAATATATAAACGCCCTTTTCAGAATTCTCCCAACTTTCCCCCAAACCCACAGCTCAGGTCAAAATTGCCAGTTAGGGAATTGCAACTCCTCTGTGTGCAAGTGCCTCTCATTGTTAGATTACAAAATGGTTGAGGTTGGGGACTCTACGTTATATTTATGCTACATCACTTACCAGGCAGCGAATAGGAAGAATAGCAAGCACTGAAGGCGATGCTGGAGCAACACAGGTCTTGATGAATTCAGGCAGGCAGTATGTAGAGTGGTTAGAGCGTGGTCTTGGTAACAAACATACCTGTGTTCTAATTCTTACTAGGCACTTTCTAGCGGAGAGACCTTGGCTAAATCATTTTCCTTTTCAAAGTGTTAAAATCCATTCAAAAAGTACTTAGGATGTGTCAGGGACACAGGGGATCCACAGTAAACAAAACTAGGTAGCATTCCTGCCCCCAAAAAGGTCTTTCAACAGTCCAGAAGACAAGAAATTTGAAAGACTGAGGAAGATCTTATCTGTAAAATGACAATTATATTCACTTCCAAGCGATGCGTGGATTAAATAAAAGAAACTAAAGCGATTACTCAACTCAGTGCCTAGCACTCAATTAGCGCCCGCTTGGCAAAGCAACGCAGACTGAAGTTTGGATTTCACTTCTTTATCACGTGATAAGTGGTAATGCTCTTAACCAGGTCGGCTCACCTGGCCTCTCCAGTCAGAGCCTAAATAACGTCTATTTAAGAGTATGAGGGAAGAGCCCCGGCTGCGGCGGACTAGAAGCGGAGGGCAGCAATTACTTGCGGCCAGGAGCCTCCAGGGGGGCGCCCCTCGCTCTCAGTATCCCGTTACGTCCAGGACCCAGGCGCCAGCCATCCTCGTTCATAGCTGGAGCTCCCATTGGCTAATCTCGCTAGGGCTCGCACGCCTTTCCCCGCCCCCTCACGCTGCTGCCCAATGCGCGCCTCTCCACTATGCTCCGCTCCGCCCCCGCCGCCCCGCCTCCCTGGCGTGTTTGCGCCTTTGGTGGATCTCTCCGGCCGAGATGGCGGCGGTGCGCGTGCGCGCTCGCTCCGAGCCCGCCTCCCGGGAGGGGGAGCTAGCGGGCCCGGGCTAGGGACTGTCGACCGCTCGGCCAGGGTGAAAGGGCGGTGGCGAAGCGGGGCGGGGCCGAGCTCCCGGGCTGGCTGCCGGGCTGCGGAGGGGCCTGCGAGCCGCTGCAGAGCCGCGCGGCGCTCGGGCGGGGCGCGGCCGGTCGAAGGAGTCCGAGCGTTCTAGCGTCGAGCTGTCTCCCCCGGCGGCTGCGCTGCTAGCCTGCGGCGACGTCGGCTCGGAGTCTCCAACATGACCGAGCTGAGGCAGAGGGTGGCCCACGAGCCGGATGCACCGCCCGAGGACAAGGTAGCGGCAGCGTCGAGTGGGCGCGGCCCGGGCAGCGGCGCTCCCCGGAGGCCCGCGGGAGACGTGCGCAGAGGGGTCGTCTCGCCCCGTGACCCTTTGTCGCGGCCGAGCCTGGGCAGCGCAGAGAGTCCTCGGGTGCCAGGGCCCCGCGGCACGCGCGCCAGGGGTCAGCAGGTCGGGGCTCTGGGTCCGGTTGGGGTGGTACTCCCAGGGCGCAGGAAGGAGCACGCCTGGAGTTGCGCACGGCCTCTGCCTCGCAGGGCTGGTTGGGGGTCCCCCTCCCCTCCCCAGCATCCCCGAGGCCTTCCTGGGTATGAGAATGCGGAGACCTCGCAGAGCCTTCTGTGGGAGGCGACTCCTCTGAGTGCGACTTGGGCTTTCCGCTCCCTTATTAAAATATTATTATTTTTATCATTTTTGGAGGGAAGGTGGGGGAATCAAGACAAGGCCATAGGATTTGCCTCCTGGGAGATTTAAATCCCTTCTTGGAAGTTAAATCGTTTGCTTTGAGCAGAGAGGTGTCTTAGGCAGTGAACCAGCTCTCAGTCAGCAGGTGTTGGAGGATATACTCCGGATGGATGGGCTTGTTTCCTGCGCCAGTGTGGGCACTGATGGGGGCAGAGGAGAGTGGGAAGGAGGCCATCTTGGGGACACAGCTGGGTGGGGGGTGAAGGATGGGTGAGTAGACTCCTTTTGGTTGAAACGAAAGGTTTGCGTGGGGAGTTTGTGGAGAGAGGTTGTATTACTATGGACGCTGAATGACAGCATAAGGGTTGGGACTTTGTAGTAGTATTTGTGCTTTTCGAGTTAGCAGTGGTCAGGAGCCATGTATTTGGAAAATTGATCTTGTGTAGAATGGACTGAGGGAATCTGGACCAGAATGCTGGAGACTGGTTTACTCAGGGTTTGCTAGTGGGTGAGTGACCTGCAGATGTTTTCTTTGGCCCACAAGTTGCCTTAAAGACCAGAAAATGTCTCCTAACAATCTGAATTTCTTCCCTGTCTTGAATAATTGGAGGATCTGCCATTGCTTTCTCATCAATGGTTAGAAATGGTTAAGGGTTGTTTGGAACTGAGAATTACCTGTTCCCACGAATCCCTGCTGCCTTATACCAGGCCCACAGCACCCGCTTATGTAGCCTATAGAATATGAGTGGAGGAAAGGAACATTAGGGAGACAACAAGAAGGAAGAAAGCACAAGGATTGGTGACAGAATGTCAACAGAGGAGTTACGCTAGGAGGAATGTTTTGGGCAAAGGATAATGGGGTTTTAAACAACTTTTTTGTTATTGCTGTTGTCAGCGGATCATCCAAGGAGAACTGTCCATATTGATTTTTAGAACATATTTTGGAGAAAATTTAGGGCTAGGAGTACAGATTTAGGAGTCACTTGCAGAGACATGATACTTTGAAGGGCCTAGAAGGTGTGAAGAGGGGGAGAAGAAAGAAGGCATGATAATAGCTGGTGGGCTGTATTTTTGAAAAGCTAACTATTTGCGATAATTAGACATGTTTTAAAAAACCAAAACCAGAGCAGCCATGGGGTTATGAGGTGAAAGGAAGTTGCTACCTTTCCTACTCAGCTCTTTGGATCCAGTCCTCAAAAATAAAGTGCCAGTTAATTCTTACTTTCACATCCCATGTTTTAGGTAGGAAGGACATGAGGAGCTGTCCAGCTAAAGGTGACTTAATAGTTACAACTTTGCTTATACCACTTATACAGTGACAGAATGGCTGGGGTTGTGAGGTCCACCAGCTGCATGTTGTTCCCTAAAATATACCTGCTGTGCATTTTGTTAAAAATCTGATGGCCATTAGTCCAGAACAAGGCAATTAGCCCCTCACCCCATCATTTAGTATTTCTGAATTGTCATATATGAGATTTTTAATAAGGGCACATTTTAAAAACCGTGAAATACATTGTTTGTCTTTAATGAATATATATAGTAAAAATTTTAAAAATCCTGATTTATTCTGTTTTATCGTTTGAAAAATATCTACTTCTATGATTCTGGCTTTGCCAATATTCTTGTGTTAGAACCCAAGGACATTAGAAATAATAAAACAAGGTTGTCTTTTTAGGGAAATGAATTGTGAAATGGGAAGTTTCTTGTTTCACTGTAGAAGAATCCAGAGAACCATTTTCAAGTCAGTTTTTTAAAAGATCTGGAAGAAATTTGAAAGAGTCCTCAAAATGTTACAGTTGCTTAACTGGTGTAGCAAAACCGTCTTATAAATAGACAATCATTAGTATCAAAATTATCTGGGGAATGTGTTTATTTATAAAAGTCAGAGGTATTTTGTTATATTTAGCATCCTAGAATGGAATTTTCAAAGCCAATTTCTATGTTCTCCTCTGGGAACTGCGCTTATAATATTAAAGTCTCAAAGCATAGTATAGTTCCCAAACTAAGAAACTTGAAATTTAAGCTTTGGGAATGATCCTCTTCCTGCCCAACTATGGTTTTCCAATGGAGCTTAGGAAAGAGAAGGATAAAATGTGGTCCAAAAGATTGGCATCTTAAAATTTATGATTGGGTTGGCATTTCAGGAGATTTTGTTTTGGAAGTTAGAGTGAAGTTTCTCGGGGTTTTTGCTTTACTTTGATGCTGCAGTGCTATTTAAATTAGGGCTTTACTTGTTTCAAGGCTTCCTTTCTAGATAGATGAAACCAATATGGAGAGGAAATAGTGACATCATGTAGAAAGGAGGGTTTAAATTTTAGCTGAAGATAGTGGTTAAGTCAGTTAGATCGACCTTCAGCCTGAGCTCTGCCACTTAGAAGCTGTGTAACTTTGAGCAAATCACTCAAGTTGTATAAGCCTTAGTTTGTCCATCCTTAAAATCGGGATTATGAAATTGCATGTGCTTCATAGGATATTCATGTGGATTAAATGAGTATGCATGTTACTTGTTTAGGGCAGAGCTTGTCACACTGTAATAATATGTTAGTTATTGTTGCTACTGGTTAAAATAGATTTTTATAGGCAAAAACTTTAATATTCACCTTCCACTCTTCGAAGATGCTTAACTCTTCAAGTTATATGTGTTTGGAGAAACCATTCATATTCATTACCTTTTAAGGAAAGTTTTATAGAAACGGCTTAGCCTTCTGTGACTTTTCTATTCAGTTTATTTTCTTGCTGAATTTTTTCCGTACTCAGAATCACACAGTTAAGCTTTAACTGTAAAAGGATCACTGGGCATTGCTGTATGCAATTATCTTTTTTCATAGTACTAGCTATGATATATCTCAGCACACTGATGAATAATTAAAAATGGCTTTCTGATAGATATTGAGAGTGAACTACTGAAATAATAAAATATTATTTTAAGAGCTATGACTACCTCGGGTGTAGGAGAAATGCTTTATGTCTTTCAAAACAATTTTTTTTTTGAGCTGAATTTAAGATTCACAATTTTTTTTAATGTTGGGAAATAATTTGGGAAATGAAAAATCAGTAAACCTTAACTCTGGTTCTCAGACTTAAATAGGGAGAGGAGTTAAAAGATTGATTTGTCATATAACCCAGCATTTTAAGTTTCTTATATATGTTGATCAAACAGTATAATCTTCTTTCAAAACTTACTTCCCAATTTATAAATGGACCAGAATGCTGGAGACTGGTTTACTCAGGGT